CAGTCTGATGCAATTTTGTTCCTAATTCAAATTACACCATAATCTAGGAAAAGGCAACCAATCAGAATCCACCAACTTGCGTCTTCTACATTTGTTCTTAAACCCCATAAATCCTGCCCAAAATTCCATTGTTGGAGAGACTGATTTAAGAGCCTTGCCTCCAATCTCCAGACAGGAGACCTTGCATTAAACTGGTTCCTTTCTCAAAAGCTGGTGGCATGGATTTTCCACTCCTGTGCCATCAGGCAGCAAGCCCATGTTCAGCAACAGAGTAAACAAAACAGGCAAAAACTGCTTTCACTTGCAGCTTTCATTCTTGGTTGTCCTATAGTAGAAAATAAATCAGAGCATAGGAAATAAAATACAAATGAAATAAAGCACAGTAGGGGAATAGATACCGAGAACAACAGAGGAACTAGAAACTGTTTCACAAATTGCCCTGGAATCTATTCAGTCTACCTGAGGCTGCATGAAAAGCCCCACTCTTAGTTGTGTCAATAAATATGTGTAAGATTCTGAAGTCATAATACTTTTATCAATGAGCTTTAGGTTACTCTTGAATGAAATACTGTACCACAAAAGGTTTTCAGGTAACTAATCGAAAAATATAAAACAACACTGGCAAAATTAAACAGAAAATGGAAATATTTAAATTTAGAAAAGTAAGTTCATACCTGCACTATTGGGACAACAGAAGCATTTAAAACTTCATACCAGAGCTAATGATTTACTCCAACATTTCGACATTTCACCAGGACTAATGTACAAGGATTATGGTTTTTATTCATCCAGAAGTCAACTTTTTACAATTGACAATGATATAAAAAATAAAATTTAAACTACTTGAATGAACACTGCAGTTACATTCAAATTATCTACAAAATTATATAAATATTTCTCTAGGCCACATTATTGTCATTTAATGTTCAATAGCTTAGCCATAGCATCATGCAGCAAGGGCTGGAGATATTTTCATACCAGTTAAAAGTTTGCATTCTAATTTCTTTTTTTGGAAATATGAAATTTGGAAATATGAATTTACACTTACTCATTCATCAAACAGTTACTGAAAATGTACCACTATGCCAGGCACTACACAGCAGTTCCCTATCCATGTGGCCCTTATCCTTGAAGAGTTTACATGTTAGGGCAGGAAGCTGTCATCAACAGGTTGCCTGCAGATTAAAAGATGCCCAAATGTACACAAAGGAATCAAGCACACAGTCTTCTCACTAGCCATACTGTGGTGGGGCCTGGGCCAAGATAATGACATAATCCCTGACTTAGAAGCATTCCTCAGGACCATGATGATGGGTTACCTAATACTTAATGAAATATTTCTGTTCCTTTAAAGGACAATGGGAACATCAGGACCTGATAAACACCCATGGGTCATTTTAACTGACAACACAAAAGAGAGCAACCATTCTGGAAATATTATCAATAGTCTTATGATTGACCGCCCTTAGATTGCCCAGTACCTCCAGCTCATCTAAGAATGAATAAACTTTCCCCACACCTGCACATTACACATTCCCTTCTTTCCTATATGATATTCTGTCACTAGCCACTCCAGGAGTCCCTTACTACTGACTTTCCAGACCTGATGTCACTTGCTAATAAATACTTTGTGGAAACAATCTTGTGGCTCATAGCTTGGTTGGGAACAATACCAGTTGTTCTCATCCTATTGAATCTGAAAAAACTATGAATATTTTCTTCAGAAATGTGCCAAAATGCACATAATATCAAAAAAATTTAGTTTTTATCCCTGGTTCCTAGAACAGAGTTTCCAAAACCTTTAGAATTTTCTGAGGGGTAGAAGTGTCTTTTGTTATTCATAATGAACACATTTTAATTGTAAGAGTATAGAGTAATGAGGTAATTTAGGATGAGATCCCTTTATAGCCTCAGGATGGGAGCTGGTCATCAGAAAGGCCAAATATGGGATTAGAGGATGGGAATGCTTCATCTCACCCTTGATCTGGAGAGAGGGGAAAGGTTCTAGACACTGAGTTATAAGTTGAACAAATATATTTGGTGTTCACAAAGCCATAAAACAACCTCAATTTTTTAGCCTCAATTCATGGATGAGAAAATTGTGAATGCCAACAAGACATTCCCTAGTAAAAGCTTTGACATTTAATATGTTCATCAATGTAAGCAAAAAAAGATTTCTTACATTTTCACTTCCTAAGGTTTAACAATTCTACAACACTGTTAGAGTGAAAAGAAAGCAAATTTTGTCACAGTGTCCATTTATTTTTGAGGAGCACAGGATTTGTGCAAAACAAGTATATATGGCGAAAGCCATGTTACAACAGGATCATAGCACTGCTCCCTAGGAAGCATCACACAGTAAACTACAAAATGAAAGGTGTCCCCTAAAGTAGGGCAATGAAGTAGCTCAAATCCCCATATATTCAGACTTACTAGACAAGTTTTCAAAAGGCTAACCCTTACGTCTTATGTGTATTTAATTAAACCTTATGCAATTTTCAATAATTATACCAGTCAATGAATTATATATCCTAACTTCTTTAAAATGGCATCTCTCAGGTTTCAGTCACACTTTAAGAAAATAATGACTTTCTCATAGCAATCCACATTGTTTACCTGGATTTTAAAAATTTGTATGTCTAATGTCATTTCAATTGCTTTAATAAACATTATATTCACATGGTTCAAGATTCAAAATGGTCAAAAATCTCCTTATCGCCACCCTCTTAGACAGGTACTTCCTATCCTTGGAGACACAAATGTTCTCAGTTCCTGTGTATCCTTCCAGAGGATTTTATACATCTTGAATCAACTAAGTATATTTTTTCTCTCTTTTTCCATGTAAAGTAGTAGCATACTTGCATATTGTCCTGTACCTTGTTTTTTTCATTCAATTACCTTGGCATAGTTTCATACCAGAGCATAAGTTCTCCCATTTTTAAAAATAGCTACATAGTATTCCAATTTGTAGATACAGTATTTTATTCCCTTATTGATAACTTTAATTGGAAAATATCTGAGGAAAAACAGGCAGCCCTCAGGGCAATAGCTTTAACCTTGCGTCTATGGAAGGCCTTCAGAGGATATGTAAACACCCTAAAATGATGTGTATGTACCCTACACATTTCTGTGGGCAAAAAATTTGCATACCATTCACCACATTACCAGAGGCAGTGCCACCCCATCAAAAGAACTACAGTATTAAAGCATGCACAATAATTAAAAAAAAAATGCACAGGAGTGTTCAATAAACTTTTGTTGAACAGAATTTCAGTCTCAGGTTTTACTTATTTTTGCATAAGACAGAAACACAAAATCAAATACCAATATAATTCAAAATTCTTACCCACTTTATTGCCCAATTTTGAGAAGGGCTTTACTTTTCATTTGCATTGTGACCAGGAAAATACTATTAAACAAAAAAAAAACTTAAGTATGTGAAGATCAAATGATCACATATGTAAACTTTCCAGAGACTCCTGAGAAAATTAAGTCATTGGTAATCCTGTAGTTGTATACCTACCATGTACCAGGCACCAGAAGTCTTACATATTATCTTGATTAATCCTCAAGACAATCATTTAAGGCAGATATATTCCTCCACCACCCCCCACTCCCTGCTGCTTTTACCTGGAGGCTTAAAAGTGGTTAAAGTTAAACTATTTACCCAAAGCCACAAAACTATTAAATGGCAGAGCAAGACTAAAACACTGCCTTACTGTTTTCACTTGCAAGACTCCAAATCTCATCAACTTTCCATAATACCATAGTGCCTGCAGTCCAAAATGTAAGGGCGACCATTTTAGTGGGGCAATAATATATTTGTCAGAAAAACCTAGGTTCTAATTTTTGTCATACAACATGTATTAGTTGTATGACAAAATTGCTTATGACTCTCTAAGCCTCCTCTGCCATTGCTATAAATGGACTGTTGTCAGGCTTAAATGAGAAAAAGATGTGTTAAAATAAAACAGCTCACATAATTGACTTGAAGCTATTTCATACCAGGTGCCTACTATTATTGAGAAGAACCACAAAAGGCTGCAAGGTTTCCCCATGTGGCATAAAAATCCCCTTCCCCGCATTTTGTATGTGTCTAGTAAGTTGAATTGGGGTAGGGGGAGTCTTATTATCGTCTGGCTTAATGGAACATCATGAATTTCCCTTGTAGTTTTTTCTCAAATTTTATGAATTTGTCAGTTATTTACATAACTATATAATGGGGGGGGGCATAATATCACACATCCATGTTGTCCTTTAAATTAAAATCTTTGTGTTATCTACTGACATCCTTGCATGAATGTCTGTGCTGACGACTGCGCAATTATTCCACTCTCAATTTAAATGCTTTATGAAGAATTAGGCACAGAGAGTTTGTTGCTGCTTTTTTTTAAGATTAACTTTAGGTGATAGGTGATGACAGCTGTCAAATTCATTACATCTGTTTCTACCCACGGTAGGTTATTCTCCCCCTCGTAAATTGATTATCCCTTTGATTTCTGTGAACGCATCTGAAACATCCTCCCCAAGCCCTCGGTCTAAAAGAGTGATGTGCTCAGCGTTTCGCGGAGTTAATGAAGAAAGTTGAAGGCCCGAGAAAACTTGGCCATCAGGGAAGTTTATTCCATTCTTCTCCCTGGTGACCCAAAGCCTGAAACCAACGCTTCAAGCAGCCCGAGGCTCCGAGCAACGCTGAAAAAGAAAACTTTGCTGTTCCCCCAAACCTTTACCTCCATGCCTCCCTTCCCCCCAAGGTGGAAAAAAATTGAAAATGTCGCGCAGCACCAAAAACTCTGCGCTCAGGCTGCTGCCGAGAGCTGGAAGCGCGTCCAAGGCAAGCCAAGAGACCAAAGCCAGCTTCGGGGCCCCGTCCGTCCCCTCGCTGCCCTCCGGGGCCGTGGACCGCCATCCTCCCCCACCCTCCATGCCAGCCCTGCCCGGTCCACACTTGGCCGGCACATCCTCCCCAGCCCGTGGCCGCAGTCCCCCAAGGAGCTCACCATCGCAGCCCGAGGATTAGGGCGCGGGCGGGCGGGCCGGCCGGCTGGGGAATCCGTTACCGGGGCTCGGGGTCCATTCGCGCCAATAACTTCTCCCGCGAAGTGGAGGAGGTGGGGGCAGCGGCGCCCGGTGATGACGTCAGGAGCGCGCAGTGCCCTTCGGCCCCGCCCACGCGGGAGGTGCGACGTGGGCCCTGGCGCCGCCCGGGAGGCCGGCGCCGCTGTCATCGCGAGGAGCCGCGGGGTCCCGGCGCGCGCAGGTTTGCGCCTGGGGCTTTGGGCGGGGGCGCCCGGCGTGCCAGGTCGGAGACTGGTTTCCTCGGAAGGCGGGCAAGCCAGGTTCCTCCCGGTTGCTGGTCGGGAGAGGGCTCTGTCCTACCGTAGCTTCTCCTGGTTTCTACACCGCGCGGTGCGGTGCACATTCCAGGTGTGCATGTCACATATCACACTTCACATATCTGTTCTGCAACCAGATTTTCACAAAATGATATTTACCCTGATCTTTATTATCTTTTCAGTGTTTGACCCACTGTATGGGTTTTTCGTTTTACCGTGAAGTGAAGGCTCACCGCTTGAAAACCACCAGGCTAAAGGACTATTTTCTTTTCTTTTCTTTTTAAAGATTTATTTATTTATTTATGCATACAAGAACTGGGGTACAGACCAGAGGTGTGGGGGTGAGAGGAGTCACTAGAGACAGAGCGGGGGAACAACAGGCAGATTGACTGAAGTACACTGCTGAGCGGAGCAGCGGGAGAGTCAGGAGGGGTCTGCTGCGCCATGTGGGTAGCTCCCTGGCCGGGGATCGAACTTGTGCTGCAGAGGCCGCTGATTGCTTCATAGGTTGCGTCTTAATCCCATGAGGCACCAGGAAGGCCCAAGAACTATGTTCTATAATTTCAAAGCAGAATCGATTTTGACAAAATCATTCCGTCATCACCACCTAATGAAAACTATGCGACTCAAACAAGCTGAGATACAGCTCGTTCCAGAGCTAAACCAGGCTGGGAATCTAGACCTCCAAATTCTCAAAACAGCGGGGCTAAGCCCCTCAAAGAGCAGTGGTGTCTGAAATCAAGGTATAAACAAGGTGTATCTCCATAGAAAAACAATGATCCCCAAAGCTTTCTAGTAAACAAGTTTTATATTAGTAGATAAGTAACTGAACTGTGGAATGGAATGTTACACTTGCATACAATTTCACGAGAAAACATGAGACCCTACAGAGTTTAATGAGGAAGCAGTATCTCCATCTCCACTCTACTTTTAAAACCTTACCCACCCACCTCCTGTTGATCTTGCATTTAATCTCACCGATATCTCTACAATGAAAGATAGCAAAGACTTCTGGAATACAAAAGAGACTAAGTTTAGACAGCTTGTATTCATTAAACTCCCACTGTAATATGTGCCAGGTGTGCAGCAAATGGACTATCCTAGTTTAACTTAAAATTTAATCCGTACAATTGACACTATTACTATTATCCCCCTATTTACAGAGGAAGAACCTCTTACTCAGGAACAAAGCCTCAGCTGCACATATACTTCTGAAAGCCCCGCCACTCTACATATTGGTTGTGTGACCGCGGGCAAGTTACTGTGCCTCAGTTTCCTCATCTGTAAAATAAGGATAATACCACTATTTCACAGGGTTGTTATGGAACTGTTGCTGGCATATAAGCAGGTAATAACAGTTTGCTTGGCTTTTTTTTTAAGTCAGCTATTATTATTATTACTAGGTATTAATACGGGGAAAGTACAGAAAATGAGCTTAACTACTCCACAGTTTCACTTAGAGAAATGTTTGGGAGGAGAAGAGTCATTAGATCATTTGAGAGATCTATATGAACCTACTTTCCAGAAAAATGTACATAGCATGCTATCACATATCATATTTACCTATAATTTCAGAGAATCTAAGTCAATTTTACAATATTCACTTTGTTTAAAAAAGTAAATAAAATATATATAATTTTTCACATATCATTCACTTTCTATTGTGTTTAACTCTGATTTCTTTTTTAGCAAGAAGTTGTAAGGTCACTTTGAATAGATGGGAAGGCTTTATAAGACTTTAAGCCAAATACTGTTAGTATTCTATCATTCTGATACTTTGTATTTTATGCCAAAAACAAAAAAATAAAATTACTATGTGTTTTATGTCAAAATGTGATACAAATTTGTTTCCTCTGGCAATACTGTCTACTTTGAGTTTGTCCCAAGCAAAAGACCATCCCGAGTGCACCTTTCATATTTGTGTGGCCCTTCTTTGACAATAAGAATAAAATTATAAAAAGTCCTAACTGCTTCCATGTCTTGGTATTAATTGAAAGACTTCAATAATACATCATCAGGAAATTGAAACATACAAAAAATACAGTAAATTAGGGCAGATAAATTTCAGGTAGTTTTTAGAGAGGCAAAGAAAAAGCACTTGTTAGTGATATAAAACATTATCTAATAATTCCTTGCATGTTTTCTTAAAAGTATTTTGATCAATAAAAAAGATTTGTGGCAACATGGATGGAACTGAAAGGGATTATGCTAAGCAAAGTAAGTCAGAAGGAGAAACATAAATCTTGGATGTTTTCACTTACATGTGGAATATAGAAAAAAACCAAAGGGATAGGAAAATGACACAACTTACAAGCTGGCCACAGATCTGAGCCATTCAAAACAGGCGAGGGAAGAGTACAAGGGATTGTGGTGATGGTTCATAAGTGCTATAGTGGGAGAACCATGGGGACTACTCCTGGGGGGGGATCAAATACTGTACAAAAATAACAATGATGTAAGAAAACAAATAAGTATATTTAATTATAAATTGATAAATAAATAAGAAGTACTTTGATCAAAACCTTTTCCTTGGGCCTCCCTGGTGGCACAAGGGGTTAAGATGCAGTCTATGAGGCTACCGCAGCCACTGCAGCACAAGTTCGATCCCCAGCCAGGGAGCTACCCATGTGGTGCATCAGACCTCTCCTGACTTGCCCACTGATCCCTTCAGCAATGTATTTCAGTCAATCTGCTTGTTCTGCTCCCCACTCTGTCTCTGGTGAATCCTCTCACCCTCCACACCTCTGACCTGTACCCCAGTTCTTGTATGCATAAATAAATAAATCTTAAAAAAAAATTTCCTCATACTCTTCTTAGTCATTTTCTCAGACCTTCATAGAATAAACAGCTCTCAAAACAGCTGATGACTAAATAGAACTAATAATTCATTTGTAGATTGAACTTGGTAACATAATACAGCAAATGGATAAACACTGCAATTTCCTAAATTAAGGGCATCTATCAGAAGTCTGAAATATTAACTAATATTTTCTTCTTTTAATAATTATTTGAGATTTAACACATTTTTAAGAAACACATTACCTATTTGACTTGATTACCTGCTGCTCACTGGCTTTGTCTTAATCTTTAAGAGAAAGAGCTCCAGAGAAAACTTTGTCAACAAAGCCAATATTGTGAGTCAGAGATCTCTTTCCCTCCCCCACTTGGAGATACATTACTGGTGGAAGAAACGTTTACATCCCATGAAGAACTCTTTACTCTGAAAGTTAGAACATTGACATTGACATATTTATAAGTTGATCATATGTTTCTAAACTTGTCAATAATTGAATTATGCATGTAATAATTGACTCTCTTTCCACAATATATGCAGTTAAGTCATTGTTCCCCTGAAATGACTAAAAACCGTATATTGGCTAAAAAGGGAATAGTTTGAATTTTGGTTACCTTTTATAATCCTAACTACTACTGTGTGTATTGGAAAACAACTGCAAAGTCAAGATTAATGCTCAGAATTAGTGCCTCTGCCTTCAATCTATATGATACAAATAACTTGGAGTTGTATCTGTGTGATACAAATAACTTGGAGTTACTTTGAAGTTCTTTCCAGTCACATAATAGTTACATTGTCTTTCATATAGACTTTTTTTTAATATAGACTTTTATAAGTCAACAGAAATCAATAGAATTTTCACTGTGCAACAACAAATGTGACTTTCTGCCCTCTGGATAAATATTAGCATGCCCTGTTCTGTCAGGGTTTATTGGAACATTTTACTTATAGAAAACAGTCCGTTAGGCAGCTTGTCCTCTTCTGCATCTGTGATGACTACAGATCCAGACCGGTGATGTTGACCTTGTAATCCATTTATGAACATAATCATTAAGTCATAATCTGTCGCCATTAAAGTACACAAATTCTAATTTAGGAAATTAGGCACTAACTACACCATTTATCTTAATTCTTGGATGATATCCAGTGAACCTTTTTAATATGTTTAGGCCTGTGTAATCTAAATTTATATAAACTTGTCTGGTGATTTTTATGTACTACAAATAATAGAAAGTTTCTTCCAAGTAAACCAGTATCTTCACTTAGGTTAAAGAAACATTGACATTTAAAATGGTACATATTAACAAACTGCATATAAAACTTTACTGTTGATGTACACATTTGATTCTAAATAGGATAGACCTCAAATTATGGAACAATTCCCTAAAATACTCACTGGCAACTTTAAGGGTGTGTACAGGCAGTGTGACAGAATGCCGGTACATTTTGTAGTGAAATAGATTTTATGATTAGGATAAGTTCTCATCCTCCAACTTCTATAATCAACTTTCCTAGACTAGAAACCATAAAGGAAATGAGTGATAAATGCATGAAAATAAAAATGTTTTGCACAGGCAAATACATTAAAATAAAGTAAAATAATTTTCTAAAATTGTCATAATGGGCACACAACTGAATATATTAAAGACCTTTGAATTGCATATTTTCACTGAGAGAATTGTATGATGGGGTTATATCTCAATAAAATTGTTATAAAAAGGGTTAAGAGATAAATTGTTGGGAGAAAAGATTTGCAAGATTATATCAAACAAGGGGTTTAATGTTTTATAATGAGCTCTTTCCAATTCATTAGGAAAAGACAAAAAATAGGAAGTAAACAAAGGAACTAAAAAAGCAACTCACAGGAGAGGAAATACAAAGGACCAATGTAAATATAAAAAGATCAGTAATCAGAGAAACACAAATGAATACAAATATGAAATGCTGTATTTTTTTTATATAGTGACAAAAAAAAAAGAGGACTTTTAATACCCAATATCGA